TCTATCATACTTCTCAAACCGATATAGGTGTGTTCCTAATGGTGTTATATTCCCATTTTAAATCTATTTAACTCTTTCACTCTGAATTCCTGTTGGTATTGGATATTTCAAATGGCATGATATATGTTTTATTGGATACCTTTGGTTTGATCTATGATTTTGAATATATTTTTTTGCATGATCTTTGGTTACCTTATTTTCTGAATTTAATTCTAAATTATGGATTGATTTATGTTTTAAATAAATTAAAATATCAATTTAACATAAATTAATGCACATTTATTTCTACCATGGGGTTCGGTTGTTAAAGGAGAAAGTATTTTATGATTCAAGTACCTCCACTATGTGCTAAGGTCCTTCTGTATGTCCTTATGCTTTATGTAGAAGGTCCTTATTGATTGTTAAAGGAGGAAGTAGTTGACATATTTAAAATGTTTTTTTGAACTACTACTGATGTTTTAATATATGTATGTTTTAACACTATAAGGAACACAAGGGGCTTTTCAGCTCACTCTTTAATTTTACCCCTTTACAAATATTACCAGACAATACGCTATTAGTCATTCAATTGATGTGGGTCGTATAATTATTGATCAAGTTCATTTCTGTCTAAGAATGAAATCTAGTGCGTTGGTGTTCCCAAATCTTATCACGTCATTATTCTGAAAAAAGAAGGTGGTTGAAAGTGGTTTTGACGAAACTTTGTCTGGAGTGTTGGGCATCACGAGAGCACAGCTGCCTATTCTGTTGGGTTTGGTTAAACCCAAATCCAAGGCAGCCAACTTTCCAACAAAAAAGGACTGACTTCAGTGCTCTCATGGGTGATTTAAATAATTTCTTTGGCTACGTCAAGCAAAGGGATGTTGTTGTGGAGTTAATATCTCATGAGATATCCCCTCACGTGGAACTAAACTTCCTGGGTTTCCCAGATGAAATTCTTCCAGCAATTGATGATGTCAAGGCAACCCCTAAACCTATTTATATCGATCATAATGATGTTGAGCCCGTACAAGACCACACAACCAAGCCTTCATATCATGTTGTTCTGGATTAGCCGTCCCATACAACCCCCATCCAAGATGTAGCACTAGAGCTTCCATCTACACGTAGAACCAGCCGTCATATCAAGACTTAAACGGGGTACATCAATACCTCTATTTCCTCATATTACTCAACATATCAAGAATCTAGGCACACCCCACTAAGGAAGCGCACCAGGTGTGGAACTACAAGGACCTCCACTGTAACACCGCACCACTATAAAAATTTAGATACCTCTTTTTGTTTTCATTTTTGCATAGCATGACATTGTATTTAGTTTCATTAGTTTCTTATTTTAAGCATTGAGGGCAATGCTTCGCTCAAGTTTGGGGGAGGTAGTGTTCTTTGTAAAACATGTGCATGATACTATTAGCATAACATTATGCCATGGCATCAGTAATTGGTATGACAGTTAGAAGAAATTTTTTGATGATACCCAATGATGATGAATTTTTTAAACTAGAAATTGAATGTAAATGACTATTGAGAATGATAGAAATGACTCTAGGACTTGATGCTTTGTGAATTATTGTTACACGATTTGTATGTTTTCTATACTTAAGGAATTTATGAAGTTTTTGTGAAAGAACTCTGGTTTGCTTTGGTATTAAGTTTTGGTATTGTACATAAATGATAAATCATTGTATAAAGAACTTCATTATGTTTGAATTTTTTTAATCATGAATAAATGCTTCGGTATAGTTGTAGTGGGATACTTTTCATTACTGTGGCATTACCTAGAACTCTCTTTAATAAATGGAAGCCACGCGTATACGAGTGAATGAAAGTAGTCACAAGATCCCTCTACATGTTTGCACTATTGAGGCAATGCCTATATACCACATTTTAATAAATGGTAGCCACAACAAGTGTAGACCATAGTTGTGATGGGCTGACTCTCCTCGTAGCAACATAAAAATAAAAAAATAGAAACAATGTGTATTAAGTAAAAAAAGAGTATAAATATGCTTAATGAATGAGTAAATGCCTGGAAAAACTAGTGAACTCAATTAGAAATTGCCTAGATTCGTTTAGTATAGATTAGATACATTCACGCACACACATAACCACAAAGAATCTTAACCTAGGGAAAAGTACTTGATTTCATGATGTGTCTAGCTTGTGAAGCCAATTCTTTCTGAGGGTTGAAATCCAATTTTTTTCTTGTTGTCTTATTGTTGAAAATTGCTATGACATTTTGATTGTGTTAATTGCTATCCATTGCTCGAGCACAAGCAATAGCTTAAGTTTGGGGATGTGATAACTCCGTAAAAAGGCTACTTGTTGCGTGTTGTGAGTACTATAAAATATACGCAAATAATGTGCAAGTATACATAATCGCTCAAGTAATACAGTAATGAGTGAGTATCGTCTCCACAGGGATTGGGAGAAATTATGAAAGTCTAACCAAAGCTAAGCACTAATCTATCTATGTATAGTTAGTCTTTATATATACAAATGTCACAGCAAAATGAAAACGTGTATGATGGTGGATGTAGATGAATGGTCTGATGGTGTGGCAGATGGAAATGTAATGGCAAGAAAAGGTGTTCAGTGTTGAAAATGATGTAATATCGAGGCAATGAAAGATGGTAAATAGCAGTAAATAAAATGAAAAGAATATAATCCTCACGTGACAAGCTTCCAATGGAAAGTATGGTAGGGATTGATCTAAGAATTCTAAACTTATTTATTAGGTATATCTAAGTTATCAAGTCTTTACTTGCTCGACAGTGCTTTCCTAAAATGTTCTCAAAGGAACCTAACAGAATAGGATGCCAATGCATCTGCTCTCACTCAACGATGTTGGTCAGCCTACCCTATTAATAAAAACACCCTTTTTAGTCGATGAAATCCTATCCTAGTCTCTCCCGAGATCTAAGGGATTAGGTTGTAATATCCCTAGGCCGATTCAAAGCACCTTGGAAATACTATAACCCATTGCTTATGAGGATCTTATCTTGAAGTTCTCTCGAATACTTACAAGTATTTCTAGCTTAGGTTTCTCCCGAATACCTAAACTTCATCTAAGAAATGGACATTTCCATGCCTCTTACAAGCCTAGATGGTGAAACATTCATAAGCAAAGCAAATAAAGAACCAAAATAAACTCAAATATATCATCAAAATAAAGTCTAAACATCCATTAAACCAACCACCACCAAATAAGTTAGTTCATGGTGGGGTTCGAAATATCCAAACACAAAGTCATGAAAATATTCGTTCCAACAACCCACAAATAAATCGAAAAATAGTAGCAAAAAGGGAAGTGAAAAGAAGCCTTCGACGCGCCACCGGAGGTCTCCTCTGCCACCACGAATCACCTTAGCTTGCGAGCTCATTTCCGCACTTAGCTCGCCACTCCTTGGAGCTTAATCAATGGAAGAAAACACAAGCAAAAAGAAAAGGAAAAGGAAATAAAAATCTGATTTTTTTCTGCTCTATGCGTGTGCCTCTTCACGTCTCTTGCATTCTCTCCCTTTAGGTGTCATTATAATAAAAGGATCTAGGGGTAATGATTAGGTTGTTAGGTGTAAAATACCCCTCATACCCCTAGAATCACACCATAAGCATGAACTTAATTCTCCAGGTGGTCTTAGTCTTCTAGAAGGTGGCTACAACAATCATTCCACGTGTAGTGCCAGCTGTCCTCATACAACTGTAGCTTTTTGTCATTTTTTGCGCCAGAAATGCCAAGGCATTTTAATCTGCTTCAGCAACGTGTGATCCCGCGACATTACTTCCCAACAAATCCTTTTTGCTTGCTATTCCTACACATCATAGACAAACTGCACCTTTCCCTTAAGCAGCATCATTAAAAAATAAAATAGCACTACCACCACAAATGCAACTATATGCAACTACATGATCTTAAAATGCCTAAAATGAACTTTTAAACAAAGAATAACTTAAGTGAAAAAGGCCTTAAAAGTAGCCTTTTTAGGAAGTTAATATACCCCCAAACTTAAGTTATTGCTTGTCCTCAAGTAATGGATAGCAGTTACACAAGCAGAATGTCATGGCAATTTTTAACAATAAGACAGTAGGACAAAATCGAATTTCAACCCTCAGAACAATAGGCTTCAACATGCTAGACATATCAAGAAATCAAGTACTTTTCCCTAGGTATTCTTTATGGTTGTGTGTGTGCATGATTGTATCCAATCTATACTTACCAAACTTAGACAATTTCTAATCAAGTCCCCTAGTTTTTGTCAAGGCATTTACTTATTCATTAAGCACATTTTCTTTACTCCCTTTTTATTTTCGGATTTTTTTAACTTGCTGTTACGAAGGGAGTCAGCTCATCACACCTACTCTCCCACACTCTAGGTGAAAGGGAGCATACCTTCCACCCCCAATCTAGTTAAGTAGAGTCATCTCGTGACTTCTTTCATTCACTCATATGCACATGGCTGCCATTTATTAAAGAGAATTCCAGGCAATGCCACGACAAAGAGGAGTGTCCCTCTACAGCTATGCCTAAGCATTTATTCACAGTTTCATTTATAAGGGAGTTGTTTTTGATTTTTCTTTTAAGCACAATACCATATTTCAATGCCAAAACTAACTGGAGTTCCTTCATAAAAATTTACCAAATTTTCTAAGTATATAGAACATACAAATTGTGTAAAAAAAATTCATAAAGCATCAAGCCCTAGAGTGAGTTCTATCATTCTCAATAGTCATTTACATTCAGATTCTAGCCTAACAAAATCATCATCATCGGGTATCCTCAAAACATTCTATCTAACTGTCCTACCATTTACTGATGCCATGACATAATACTATGCTAATACTATCATGCATATGTCCTACTAAGAACACTACCTCCCCCAAACTTAAGGGAATCATTTTCCTCAATGCTTAAAGAGAACTAAACTAAATATAAACTAAATATAAACTAATTTCCATGCAATGAAATGCAACTAAATGAAAATGAATGCAAGAGAGGTACCTCAGTGATTGCGTGGTGGCATGGCCTTGAAGGTGCTAGCAGCTCCTCGCCTAGTGCGCTTTCGAAGGGGTACTGGGTTGGACTTGGAAGAAGAAGAGTAGTGATGCGCAATCTTCTTACATCCAGCCGTGGTCTTGGTGCGTCGACAACTACAGGGTGCAGGCGAAGGATCGGGTGCAAGGACAGGACTAGGTGTTTCTTCTACAAAGACAGTGGGCGGATATTCAGGAGTGTCAGATCGGTGAGGATTAGGTGTTGGGTCATCAACTGGAGGATCGTCTTCACCTTGTTCGGGCTCTGGAGATGCCTCGGCATTGAATGCATGCAGAATTTCATCTGGGAAGCCAGGGAAATTGTGTTGACCGTGGGGAATAATTTCTTGAAACATTGATTCCACCACATCATCTCTATGCTTCACATATCCAAAGAAGTTACGGATGTCACCGTGCAAAGCATGCAGGTGAGTCTGAATCTGAATCACTTCTTCCTCGAGAGCAAGCAATCTTGCCTCGACATCGAATTGTGTAGTACCTGCAGCTTTCTCATGAACAGAGTCTTTAGACTTGGGACTTTCAATTCCCAATAGCAGTGGAAGTCTAACCCTATTAATGCCCGATAATCCATGTAAAATTTCATCAAATGCATTTTCCTTAACCTTTTTCTTATGACACAAGGCAGTAATTAAGTTAGGAAACACTAAAGCACTTGCCTTTTTACTTAAGCAGTCATGAACTTGCTGAACAATAATACGCCCAACATCAATAGGACGGGACACCATTATCGAATGTAAAAGTAGTAAGCGTGAAAGTGATACCGTTATATTGTGAGAAGTGGGCATGAGTTTGTTCTTAAGGAAGTGATTCCATAATTTAGCATGCGGCTGAAGACGCTCTCTGTTGACCGAGTATCTACTTGTTTGACGCCCATTCCACTCAGTGTTTGCAAAGCATAAATCCTCAAGAATGTCATCATAAGTGTAGCTATCAACTTCATTTTTGAACGCGGCATGCCCATCCACTACATCCTGCAAGTGGAAATAATGATAAATTGCAGTGGATGTAAAACGAATCTTCTTACCTCGCATGAAAATGGCATGTTGGTTTGGCTTTGAAATATTTGCATAAAATTCCTTAACCAACGAGGCATTCACTGAACCCGGATGGTGTGCGAATTTCTTCCACTTGAGTGGCATAACTATATCCATTACATCGGTTCCAAAACCACCATCGGTCTCCTCGTTAAAAATGAAACCTAACTCAAAGAGAGTTTGCGATTCTTGAAGTTTTGAAACCGAGCCTTAGCCTCCTCGTTCTCAAACTGTTGGAACTTGGAACCTTCGGGTGCAGCAGGTCTTGTGTGCACCATTTTCAACAGTTGTGAAGTAAGAAAAAAAATGGAAAAGGAAATAGCTTTCAAAACCTTTGTAGAGTTTCGGCTATGGAGAAAAGAGGAAAGAAGATGAAGAATATGAGAGATAAAAAGTACAAGTTAAGAAGAAAATATTAAGGATGAAAGAGAAAAGAAAAAGAAAAATATTTAGGAGGGAAAAGAGTTGATAGGACGGTTAAGAGATAAATTAGTGGGTAGGGGTTATGCGTGTATGGGGAAGAAAAAAAACTGTCAAAAGAAATGATGATGATGGCATAAAACTGTGGAGAGAGAAAAGTAATGTCAGAATTAAAGTAAATTAAAAAGAAATAAAATCAAAGAAATATCTCTCCCATTAATACGCTGTCCTTTCCTTCAATTGGATAACCGCTCCTGCATGGTTTTGCAGCACTGTGGTCCCTACAAATCATATCAAAAATTAATTACAAAATAAAATGAAACAAAAGCTTAAATTTTAAATTTTATTTATGCACATACACAAATTTGATGCCATGGCATTGAATTTTGGTTCTCCTCTTATCATGATTCAGCATCGTGCAAACGTAACACATCCTTGTTGTGCGGTGCTGGAACTCTATTGTAGGCTTTCAGACGCTGGCCATTGACCTTGAAGATCGTCCCATTGTCTATTCTCTTGATTTTAACAGCTTCATGGGGTAGACATAATTCACCTCAAATGGTCCTGACCATCGAGATTTGAGCTTCCCAGGAAAGAGTTTAAGTTTGGAGTTGTAAAGCAAGACTTGTTGCCCCACATGAAAATCTTCTGGCATCAGTTTCTGGTCATGCCACTTCTTGGTTTTCTCCTTGTATATCCGAGCATTCTCATATGCTTGTGCTCTAAACTCTTCCATTTCATTAAGTTCTAGTAATCTCTACTTCCTAGCTAGTTGAGCATCAAAATTCAATCACTTGATGGCCCAATACGCCTTATGTTCAAGTTCAACCGGGTGATGACAAGCTTTCCCATATACTAGCTTGAAGGGTGACATCCCCAAAGGAGTCTTGAATGTTGTTCTGTGTGCCCAAAGTGCTTCATCCAACTTTGGCAACCAATCCTTATGCCTTGGGTTCACCACTTTCTCCAAAATCTGCTTGATCTCGCGATTGGAAATTTCTACTTGGCCATTTGTTTGCGGATGATATACCGTGGCAATCTTGTGTCGAACTCCATATTTCTTCAGTTCCTTGGCAATCAATTTGTTATCAAAATGGGTTCCCTCATCACTTATAATAGCTCGGGGTACTCCAAACCGAGTGAAAATGTACTTGTGCAGAAACTTGAGCACGGTCTTGGAGTCATTCCTTGTTGTCGCTATTGCTTCCACCCATTTTGACACATAATCCACATCAAGCAATATATATAATTTTCCTTCAGAAGATGGGAATGATCCCATGAAATCAATGCCCCACACATCAAACAGCTCTATCTCCAGAATATTTTGCAGAGGCATTTCATGTTGTCTGGAGATGTTCCAGTCCGTTGGCATCGATTACAAGATTTGTAAAATGCTTGGGCATCTCTGAACAAAGTTGAGCATTAAAAGCCTAATTACAGGGCCTTAGCAATAGTCCTTGCTCGACCAAAATGGCCTCCACATGGGGTCGAATGACAATGGTACAAAATATCACGTTGTTCCTCTTCGGGTACACATCTTCTAATAAGCTGATTGGCACAATGCTTGAACAAATATGGCTCATCCCAAAAATAGTGTCTTGCATTGTGCTTGAATTTCTTTTTAGCCTGGCTATCTAAATCAAAAGGCAGAATTCCACTAACAAGAAAATAAACAAGGTTAGCGTACCACGAAATTGCCGTGGCATATAAAAGTTTCTCATCAGGAAATTCCTCTTTAATATCTACAGTGTCATGGCATTCATAATTGTTCTCTAGCCTAGATAAGTGATCATCAACTTGATTCTTAGTTCCTTTTCTATCTACCACCTCTAAGTCGAATTCTTGCAAAAGTAAGATCCACTTAATAAGTCTAGGCTTGGCATCCTTTTTGTTCACTAAATATTTTATAGCCGAATGATCAGTGTGAACAATAACTTTAGTGCCTATTAGGTAAGGTCTAAATTTATCAAAAGAAAATACCACGACAAGTAATTCTTTCTCAGTGGTAGTGTAGTTCAATTGTGTTTCATTTAAAGTGCGGTTAGAATAATAAATAACATGAAAGATTTTACCTTGGCGTTGCCCCAAAACACCTCCTACGGCATAATCGCTTGCATCACACATAAGCTCAAATGGTGATGTCCAATCGGGAGAAACTACAATGGGTGCCGAGATCAGTTGTTGTTTTAACTCAGTAAATGCACCGAGGCATAACTTGTCAAACACAAAGGGTTGGTTTTGTTGAAGCAATGTGCACAAGGGCTTAGAAATCTTGGAGAAGTCTTTGATAAACCTTCTATAGAATCAAGCATGTCCAAGAAAACTTCTTATCCCCTTGACCGAAGTTGGTGGTGGCAACTTTTAGTTCACTTCAATCTTCGCCTTATCCACCTCAATACCCTTGTGTGAAATTTTGTGGCCTAATATAATGCCTTCAGTCACCATGAAGTGACATTTTTCCCAATTTAAGACCAACTCAGCCTCTTCGCATCTTTTGAGAACTTTTGCTAAATTGCCGATGCATCGTTCAAAATCGTCCCCACAAACAGAAAAGTCATCCATAAAGATCTCCAGAAAATCCTCAACCATGTCTGAAAATATAGCTTGCATACAACGCTGAAACGTTGCCAGGGCATTGCAGAGTCCAAAAGGCATCCTCCTAAAGGTAAAAGTGCCATAGGGACAAGTGAATGTAGTCTTATCTTGGTCCTCTGGTGTGATGGCGATTTGATTATACCCAGAGTATCCATCCAAAAAGTAATAGAATACTTTACCGGCCAACCGATCCAACATTTGGTCAATGAAAGGTAGAGGAAAATGGTCATTCTTTATAGCTTTGTTGAGTTTTCTATAGTCCATGCATATCCTCCATCCGGTAACAGTGCGAGTGATAATAGCTCATTATCCTCATTAGTAACCACAGTCGTGCCTCCTTTCTTCGGAACACACTGGATAGGGCTCACCCATGAGCTATTAGATATAGGGTAAATCACTCTAGCATCAAGCCATTTCAGAATTTATTTCATCACCACTTGCTTCATAACAGGGTTGAGTCTTCGTTGTGGTTCAATTGAATTACCGTGGCAATCTTCCAATAATGCTCTTCAAATTGGCCATAGTCCAACCAATTGTTTTCTTATGCTGCATCAATACACTTAACAAACTTTTCTCTTGATTAGTAGTAAGGTCAGCGGAAATAATCACCGGTAAAGTCTCATCGCTACCTAAATAAACATATTTAAGATGCCCTGGCAAAGTATTAAGCTCTAGAGTAGCTGCATGCAATAATGAAAGCTTAGGAGGAATGAATTCATCAAAATTCAGAGGTTCAAAATTCATACCTGATCTAGCTTGTAGTAAGCTAGATTGCTCCTCCAAAATTGAAAAGTTGTCGGACTCCACTAAGCTGTCATCATTCACCAAATAATCATTTTCTGCTAGCTGAATGAAATTGTTCTGGAAAAGATATTCAGTCTCTTCTTTAATCACTGAGTTCGATTCAGAAATACCTTGGCATTCTTCAGTGTCATCAACATATTTGAACGTTCGAAACACATTGACAGACACACACTGATCAGCCACTCTCATGGTGAGTTCACCATTTTCACAGTCTATTAATATACGTCCAGTGGTTAAAAAAGGTCTTCCCAGAATAATCGATGCCTTGGCATCAACTTCGCAATCCAGAATTAAGAAGTCGACTGTAAACACAAACTTATCCACCCTCACTATGACATCCTCGACTCTCCCTTCAGGTTTAACATGAGATCTATTGGCAAGTTGTAAAATAACCGAGGTGGGTCTTACATCTCCTATGCCAAGCTTCAAGAATATTGACTTTGGCATTAAGTTGACACTTGAGCCAATATCACACAGTGCCTTTCCAACAAAATTAGCTCCAATCGAAAAAGGAATAATAAAGTTGCCCGAATCATTTTTCTTTGGCGGTAACTTACTCAATGAAGAACAAAATTCTGTTGCCGTGGCAACAATCTCTACTTTCCTCTTCTTGGTATAGATTTCCTTCAGAAATTTAGCATACATCGACATCTGTTCAATGGCTTCCAAGAGAGGTACATTGATATGGAGTTGATCATGAATATCCACAAACTTTTTGAACTGAACTTCATCACTATGCTACTTCAATCTTTGCGGGAAGGGTGGTGGAGATATCGCTTCCTTAACTGCAGTAGTAGGAATTGCTTTTGCCTTGGCATCAGAATCTGGTGCCTTAATTGAATCATCAGTAGAACCCTCCTCCTTGTCCCTCTCAGTAATGGTATCATCATGTAATTATGCTTCACCACTTTCAGGAGTGGGAGTAGATTCATCATGTTGTGCCCCACTAGCTTTAACTTGTTGATTAATTTGTGTTCCACTCCTAAGAGTTAACACATTGCAATGCTCTTTTCCAGGCCCTTTAGTGACTTCAGTATCACTTGGCAATCGCCCTTGCTGACGCTCTTGTAATGCCGTAGCAATCTGACCAACTTGACCTTAAAAAGCTCTCAAAGACGAGCTATGGCTTTGAAGTAAGGTGCCTTGACTATGAAGTAAAGGTCCTTGATTCTTAATTGAAATAGAATGGCCTTGCAGCATTGTCTTCGTAGTAGATATGAACTCTTGAATCGTAGCTTCCAAGGAACTCATGCTTGCTGAAGTTGAAGCTCATTTGTTAACATTATGCTATGGCATAGCATTTTGATAACCTTGAGGCTCATTGTGAGTCTGCTGCCGAGTAGGTTGATTAGCATTGTGGGCTCCTTGATTTCCCCATGAGAAATTAGGGTGCTGACGCCATCCATCATTATAAGTGTTAGAGTAAGGATTGTTGTTGCCTCGATTGTAATTACTCACAAAGTTGATGGACTCATGGTTGCTCGGGCATTCACTCTCATGATGATTGCCTTGGCATAACAGACATGCCAAGCTAGTTGCTTTCACTTATTTCACCTCAGTAGAGCGTTATAAGTTTTTCAGTATATTGGTGATATTTGAGAGTTGGGCGGACACCGAATCTTTAGTGTCTAACTCAAATGCTCCAGGTGCTCTCTTCCCACTCCCAAGTCTTGAGGAAGAAAACTGATAATCATTGTTAGAAATTCTATCCAAGATAGCAACCGCCTCAGTAGGTGATTTATCCAGTAATGTCCCATATGCCGAGGCATCCAATAACATCCTCGTGGGTGCATTGACTCCATTATAAAACACGAATACTTGAGTCCAATCGTGAAAACTATGATTTGAACACTTTCAAAGCAAACTCTTGTAACGATCCCAACACTCGTACATGGATTCGCTGTCGCCCTGGCGAAAAGATGATATGTCATTCCTTAGCTGCGTATTCATGCTCGGTAGGTTGTACCTCAATAAGAATCTCTTGCAAAGATCAGCCCACGATTCCATCGAACCGGCTGGTACACCACTCAACCAGACCCTTGCTCGGTCATGCAATGAATATGGCAACAATTTTAACTTCAGAAAATCCTCATGTACTCCCTCTTGGCAAAAATAATCACAAAGTTCCAGAAAATTACGAATGTACTGCCTGGCATCTTCGTTTGGCATACCCCCAAACTGCCCAATGGAATTCAACATGTTGAACATGACTGGTTTCAGCTTAAAATGTGCAGCTTGAATGTCAGGTGCCACAATCCTAGGATTCAGATCATCCAGAATCCGATTTAAGTAATCACAAATAACACGCGGCCTACCAGCAGGTTCAACATTACCTAATGCCACGTCATTCTGATTTCCGTCATCCTGACCAATGCCTTGGTTTCCAATCTGATACATATTTCCTCTAGCGCGTTGTGCTCATCTCCTTTGTCTAAAGAGTCTTTCAATCTCAGGTTCTATCGGTTCTAAAGGCTCTTCAGAATTTCTTCTAGGCATACACTAGATAAACCTGAAAAATTAAACAAAAATATCAAGTAAACTATACAAAAATAAAAATGCAAAACAAAATAAAATGCTCTGGCAAAACTAAATAACTTCAGGCTGCCAATCCCCGTCAACGGCGCAAAAAACCTATTGCGTGTTGTGAGCACTATAAAATATACGCAAATAATGTGCAAGTATACACAATCGCTCAAGTAATACAGTGATGAGTGAGTATCGTCTCCATAGGGATTGGGTGAAATTACGAAAATCTAACCAAAGCCAAGCACTAATCTATCTATGTATAGTTAGTCTTTATATATACAAATGTCACGGAAAAATGAAAATGTGTATGAATGTGGATATAGATGAATGGTTTGATAGTGTAGCAGATGGAAATGTAATGGCAAGATAAGATGTTTAGTGTTGAAAATGATGTAATATCGAGGCAATGAAAGATGGTAAATAATAGTAAATAAAATGAAAAAAAGATAATCCTCATGTGACAAGCTTCCAATGGAATGAATGGTAGGGATTGATCTAAGGATGCTAAACTTATTTATCAGGTATATCTAAGTTATCTAGTCTTTACTTGCTCGACAGGGCTTTCCTAAAATGTTCTCAAAGGAACCTAATATTATAGGATGCCAAGACATCTGCTCTCACTCAATGATGTTGGCCAGCCTACCTTATTGATAAAAACACCCTTTTTAGTCATTGAAATCCTATCCTAGTCTCTCCCGATATCTAAGGGATTAGGTTGTATTATCCCTAGGCCGGTTCAAAGCCCCTTGGAAATACTATAACCCATTGCTTATGAGGATCTTATCTTGCGGTTCTCTCGAATACTTACAAGTATTTCTAGCTTAGGTTTCTCCCAAATACCTAAACTTCATCTAAGAAATGGACATTTCCATGCCTCTTACAAGCCTAGATGGTGAAGCATTCATAAGAAAAGCAAATAAAGAAACAAAATAAACTCAAATATATCATCAAAATAAAGTCTAAACATCCATTAAACCAACCACCACCAAATAAATTAGTTCATGGTGGGGGGTCGAAATATCCAAACACAAAGTCAGGAAAATATTCATTCCAACAACCCAAAAATAAATCGAAAAATAGTAACAAAAAGGGAAGTGAGAAGAAGTCTTCGACGCGCCACCAGAGGTCTCCTCGGCCACCACGAATCACCTCAGCTCGCGAGCTCCTTTCGACACTTAGCTCACCACTCTTTGGAGCTTAATCAATGGAGGAAAACCCAAGGAAAAAGAAAAGGAAATAAAAATCTGATTTTTTTCTGCTCTATGCGTGTGCCTCTTCACTTCTCTTCCCTTCTCTCCCTTTAGGTGTCATTATAATAAAAGGATCTAGGGGTAATGATTAGGTTGTTAGGTGAAAAATACCCCTCATACCCCTAGAATCACACCATAAGCATGAACTTAATTCTCTAGGTGGCCTTAGTCCTCTAGAAGGTGGCTACAACAATCATTCCATGTGCAGTGCCAACTGTCCTCATACAACTGTATCTTTTTGTCATTTTCTGCGCCAGAAATTCCAAGGCATTTCAATCTACTTCAGCAATGTGTGATGCCGCGGCATTACTTCCCAACGAATCCTTTTTTCTTGCTATTCCTGGACATAATAAACAAACTGCACCTTTCCCTCAAGCAACATCATTAAGAAATAAAATAGCACTACCACCACAAATGCAACTATATGCAATTACATGATCTTAAAATGACTAAAATGAACTTTTAAACAAACAATAACTTAAGTGAAAAAGG